GAGCTGGTGAACACGAAATTTTGATTAACAAAGGAGATACAAGACGATTACCCGATTAATTAGTCATATCAATAATTGTTAACACGTTCAAATATCCGGATACAACTGAGATTGAGCGTAGCAGTGGGATTTTTAAAGTTAATTGATTAGCCACCCCCAAAAGATGTGCGTTAAAATTAACAAAAATATGTGGATTATCCTTTCAAGCCAAAAGCAGAATCTTATAAACATTTGTGAATTTGCACGCTAAAGTGGGCTAGTTGCATTTGATCATTAGAAAAGTCTCTCATGTTGTTTTACTATAGATTATGAAAAAAAATAGCCAATGGAGGCATCAATTTTTTTTCATTATGATTATCAAAATATTGGCTGATTGCGAGTCTGTAACATAAAATGAAAATCTGTTCTTGGTTTATAAGGAGGCTAAAGTTACCCGTTCTAGGTATACCAGACTTTCCAGCTTTTGCTTTTACTGCATTCTTTTTAAAACTTCAAGCCTGGGAACACAATTTGCTGAATATCATACCCTGGGAACCAGACTCACTATATATGAAATAAAATAGAGAGTCTGGTCTAGTGCGCCCCATTCTCGTTCTGGTGTGCTGATATTAACCAATCCGGAGCGAGTGTACAGATTTCTGTACGTTCAAAGGTCACAGCGAAACAATAAACTTAGCTCTGGTGTAAAACATTGAACAGAACAGAACATAAATAAATGCTAGCGACCGTAACGATTGAGTTTGAAGATGCTGTTAAAACTGTACTCAAAGAATATTTTCCGCATGTTGTGGAACTGAACACAGAACAGCATTGAAAGCCTTGTTTGTAGAGAGAAGAGACACCTTCGCCATATTGCCAACTGGCTTTGGAAAGTCTCTGATATTTCAGGCTGTGCCTCTCGTTGCAAAGAAATTAGGCCTTGTAGTGAAATGCAGTAGATAAGAAACACCGCAAAGGAACAAACAACAATAAACACAGTAAATCAGTTATAGCTAATATTTCGCCCGGCATACGGGGCTTCGCTTGTCGTATTGGCCATATTTGCTGTGATGACCCTCCAACGTGATGATTCTAACCGCCGCGGTGTCCAAGCGCGCTGCCTTCACAGTGAGGAAGTAGACGTTGAAAGTACACATAATTTATGAGGAAAATTACAAAAGACTTTTTTTAAGTTGTATACGATATTTGATAATGATTAACATTTAATAACTGCATTGTGCTAACTTCAATTTCATGCTTCGCACATGTTTTTGCTGCCAAAGGGTGTTTTAAACCTGATTAGATTGTTATCTTGAGGCAGAAAAGTCTATTACCACTGTATTAAAAATGTCGTCTTTGAAGAACTAAATAAAACACATTTGCTTTAAGATTTCCCAAAACTCCTCTGACTACTGAGTTTCTTTGTTATTTATCTGACAGTCTTGTTTCACAGGCCTAGTCTGTTAAATAGACTTCAGTTCTTTCAAGTAAGTTCACCAGAACGAGAATGGGGCGCACTAGACCAGACTCTCTATTATTTTATATAGTGAGTCTGGTACCCAGGGTATGAATATCACAACATTTACAAAGAGCTGACAATGAGCCTAGGTATTTCTATTCCGCAAATGATTCAATTTTTTATTTCAGCTAGTTTCTTGGGATGTATGACAAATAATGGTTTCCTAGGATTTATGTCAAATACTGGGTTCCATGAAGTTAATTTCGTTTAATTTTTTGTTAAAATTTGCAAGCGAAGAGTTTCTGCACATCATTTTGTTTAATTGAAATTATACTTTTGAAACAACTGAAAAGATTCTGCGATAATAATACTGTCAGAAGTATGTATTAATGTATGAACTTTGCATTTTAGATGTATTCTGAAAAAAGGCTCAGAAATCACGATTCGTTCTCTATTTCCTGGCAAGCACGAATGCATTTGAAGAGAAAAGCCAGATATCTAGCCACTAGCAGCCATAGAGGATTTGCACGATGAATTCAAAATGCACAAAGAATTCATGCTTTTACATAGTATGCACATGAAGCCGCAAAATGTATCCAGTTGTAATTTATATTGTTTGATTTTCATTACTATTCAGTACAGTAATTATGAACAGTGAGGTAGGAGGCAGAAATCTTTTAGTTGTGACTTTTGCTAAAAGCAAGAGATTTCCATAATAAAAATCAACTTTATTCTCGAAATTTATTAAGATGTAATAAGTATTGTATTTTAGGGTTTTCTGTCTATTCAGTCAAGTAATTATGAACAGTGGGTTCGAAGGCAGAAATGTCTTTACCTGTGACTTTTGGTTATTCAAGAAATTTCAATTACAAAAAACTACTTTTTTCCGGAAAGATTCTTTATTAAAACTCCTTAAAAGATGGATAGCTTGATGTTTTCTTTAAGCTCTAATATCCGTCAATACAATTTTTGACTAAGAAAGAAAAAAAAATTTCTATTTTTTTGACTTTGTTAAATATAGCAAAGCAAATACCACGATATAGTGTCAGAAACTGATGTGAATTATAGTGTTGTTATTTGATTTAAGCTATTATAGTGTTGTTGATCATATGTCATAAAATTTTCTGGGCTTTGTTCAACAGCTCAGGATTGATATTTTTCAGAAAATTCAATTCGAGCTTAAAGAATCCTCATAAAAAGTAAAGCTTACTAACTCAAAAGACAAGGCCAGAAGGATTTTATCAATACATTCCTACGCTGCAATAATTATATACGATTCATGGATCATTTGACGATATTAAAGAGTGATGTGCAAAAGTTTGTTTTCTAGTTTCCACAACCTTTTTATTTGCTATCCTTTACTAATGGAACACTTTTTTCAACTTCCGTGTTGTTTTATAAAGTAGTGTGTTGCTCGATCTTGGCTCATGCTACTCTTATAGCAGCAGCAAAATGCATCTAAGGAGACAGAAAAACTAATTGCAGAAGCACACAAATGGACCAAGGCAAAGTATTTTAAATCTAATTACGCAAAGCAAAGTAAAAACAAGTCCTTACAAACAGCAAACGCAAAGTTTTGCCCAAGGAGTCTTAAAACCGAAATCACTGTCGAAGTAAAGCCAAAATTCATAATGAAACATGAAAATGTTTCTGTTTAAAATCAGATTTTCATAAAATGCCCTTTATAACGTCAAAATCTAAATACTTAGTTTCTAAAGACTCGTTTATTCAAAATTTTGATTTGTTCGAATTTTTCATAAATTCAATTTCATAATATTTATCACTTTACAAGGTATCTTAGAGGTTTGCCTTGTCAAAAAAAAATGATATTACACAGGAAGGCATATTTTCACCTGCAACAACCTAAAACCATCGGCTGCAAGGGTCTCAAATTCCGTAAACAATGTAAATCAAATATTACCTATGTTACATGCATATTCCTTGCGAGGATCACAAGTACAATTGAATGATTAGAATTTTGAGACTTTTTTCTTGAATATTTGCAGAGCTGGGGATTATTTCATTTCGTTTGGAACTGAGTTAGCAACAGCTTGTTCAAAATGATCAAAAAATAGAATTTCATTTGCATTTTATGAAGTGTCTTTATCAAAACTTATTTAGAAAATATATTTTGCACAAGTTGTTAAAGCAGTTCATGTACAGAAAGTGGTTTGGAGCATTTTATAACAAATATCTAATAAAACAAATGATTATCAAGGCAAGTCTTCTAGCATTAGGACTTCTTAGTCGTATTCCACATTTTGAACAAATGAAATCACTTGATGGTTAGTGGTAAGGATGCTCATAAATGTATAGAGTGAGCTGTTTTTTTCCAGTATAAACTAAAAAGACAAAATTGTCTAGCTTTCAAAATTATTAAATGCATTTTTTTTACATTATTTTATATAGTTTAATTTTATAAAAAGTATTCACTTGGAATTCAGAGCATTCAAAAATATTCCCAAAGAATTCACAAAATAAAGAACTAATGTTTCAAAATCTTTTTAAAATTTTGAGATTATTCTGGCTTGAATGCGTGACAAATCTTAAATAGTTTGCTGGCAGAATAGAAACACCTGAACTGGTTAAAAATTGAGAAGAACTTCTTCTAGATGAGGAATTCTTATGGACAAGGAATTTTTAACATATACAACTTTCGTCAAAAGTTACTGAAATTTAGATACAATCGTTATAAACCATTGCCGGGTAACGTCCGCCATTAAGTCTGGCTAGCGAACTGACCTTTGGACTCTATGGCCGTCAGCCGTAGCGTTGGTGATTTCCGATACATGAAAGCCGTAATTTCACAATCACGCTATTCTAACGTCATGCCATTCTTTTATCGACATAAATTACACTGTCTATTATCCTTTCCATAATTATTCTTTGAATTTCGCCTATTATTTTCCATTGCCTAGCCCCGTTGGCTTTTTCTCAATGAACTACTTGGTCTGAAGTCTTCCTTCACAGTGAACGGAAGAAAGTACGATATTTGTTTCATTCTCGCTCATCATCGTACGCAAATATTCAGTCACTATAAATTCATCAGTTAAATGGTAATCAATTCAGAAACGTAACAGGATTTTTCGGATATGGTAGTTCAAAGTTTTGAAGGATTTTTTAACAGTAAAAAGAGCGGTATCTGTAAACAACTAAAATACGGTGGAACTTTTTGCCAGAGCGTCTACAGGTGCTGATTTGGGTTTGTCTATCGTGATGGCTAGCCCAATTAAGTAGCTCTGTTTCAGGGCCGTAACTCCCAATGGAGACAAGGGGGAAATTTTTTCCCCAAGAAAAGGTAATTTTTCTTAAATGATGCATTTTCATTTGTCATTTTCCCGCCCTTTTCACCGTTGACGAATTGCGTCAGCTTTTACTCAGCCATAGCAGTGAACATCAGTAGACGTGAGCTTTTCATCGATCTTCAAGCCATAAAAAGGAATATACAAAGTACCTTAGCCCAAAAGAAATTATACAACTGTAGTTATTTTAAGAGAAAGGTGGACTGCATTCTCTTTTTAAGTGGAATTTAGTGATTTATTTTGTCGTTAACACAAATATCAATGCCGACAAGACAAGATTTTAACATTGGCTTGTAAAGGTAAGTTCATATTTGTTAATTATGTAGATAAACCAACTTTTAAGGTTAAAATACTTTAATTTTTCTGTTCTCCCTCCCCCTTATTATGTGGATTTGAAAGGGACAGTTTCAATTCTTTCTAACTAATGATCGCGAAAATTGTTTGCTGAGTACAACGGCAGTTTTTCCATGAATTCATCAAAGATTCAATTCTTTAAAGAAAATTTAGATTATCTTTCAGCACATTTGACACCATTATTTCTTGCGGGTAGTGGTAAAAACATCAAAAATTGGCCTAAATTTAGCTGCAAGGTAAATTTGTTATTATATTGTTGAATTCTGATTGGCTAATGGGATATGCAGGATTTTGGTCGCTCAGCCAATCAGAGATTAGGAACCTATGCTAACAGGATCCTAAAGATTCTCGATGTTTTGATGACATAAAAGAGAGAAAAGTGCGCAAATGTTATAAAAATAAAGCAAGAAGGAAAGAAATGAAAGTTATTTAATCTATGTTCTGACGATTTATACTCCAAAGAGTGTTACTCCAACGGAAAACCTCAGTATGTTTCATAGTGTTTGCTTTTTTCAAAGCAACTTCAACATGCCGTTAAAGACTCTGCAAAGAGCATACATACGGAATGATCATTATATAACATGAAATCTACCAATAACGATCTTTTACACGAACCATTCTGTTTGAAATTTATAAACCTCAAGCTCACATACTTGAAGATATTCTTCCCTGTTCAAGAACACAGTCACATTCCGACCAAGCAAAAAAAGCCTTGGACAATCAAACTTTTTCAATTCTCCGATTGCCAACGTTCCATCTTTTACGCAAAGCGCATTGTTTCGTCCGCCACTTGATCTAGCATCTCCAACACCGATATCGAATGGATTGATTTTTTCTTGACCCCATGTTGCGCCACTTTTTATTTGAACAATTGTGACAGCAGCTTGCCTTGTTAGGTCCACTTGCCACCAGGGTACTATGTCTTTTTTGGTGATACTGCATCGCTGCAAGGCCCCAGTTTTGTTACCGTCATTTCCAAAGCTGGCAACAAATGCAATTCCATCATATTTATGAGCGGATGAATGCAAGGACGGCTTCTTATAAGCTATATTTCCTTGAACGCCTGGAATTTAAGACAAATCAAAGGATTTTATTAGAAAATGGCTTTGAAAAAAGCAAACATTTTACAACATACTTAAAGCTTTTTCGTCTGACACTCCTCAGAGCATAAAACGTCAGAATAAGGTTCCGAAAAAACACGTTTGAAAAATATATACCCAGTTGTGGATCGAAATAGGCCAATCAGAAAAACGCAAGCACAAGACCGGTATAGTTGACCAATCAGTGCCGCGAGCCTAAAGAAAAATTACCAATGGAGTCCAAGAGAGAAAACGAACTCCTTTTGTCTACACAATGGCGGCCTTTTCGTTTTTATGTAGATTGACTCCAAAACTGCTAGATGGAAGGACGACCGGGCTCTGCCAATTATCCGAAACATGTCGTCATTATAGAGTTTTGCACAATCTGGGTTGTCTAAAAGATGTTGACCAATGGCAGAATCACTTGTTTTACTACATTTTCTTATTTACTGTCAAATTGCAACACAATAATGCAAGGATCATACAACGAGGAGCAAAAGTCAATGACTACCCTAGGGCCATTACATGGGAACATACACCGCTAACCCATGCATAAATAAGATTGATTAAGGTAAAATAGCAAAGAAGATATGCAAAATAGAATAATTTAGAATGTGATGTAGAGAGGAGGGGTGTTTACAACCCAATTTGTAGCTTAACAGAAAGTTTAGGAAAAGTCCGTTCAGTGAATGAAACGATTTTGTAATTCAGAGACATTCAAGTACTAAAATCAGTAAAAAGTCAGGCATTTGTGATACCTTTGTTGGTTACATATTTATTTCTGAGTGAATACAAAAATCAAGAACTCCTTAGGTAAAATTGTGCCTTGTGTTGATCTTCACTACCTTTTTTGGAAGAAGCATAAATTAAAATGCATAATCAGTAAAGATCTTTTTTACACGCATAAAAGGATTTTTTAACCAGTTATTGATTACTAACTAGAGCTGTTTATTACTTGGCTTTGGAATAACAACTCATACCTCTTCTTGCCTGTTTCTTAGACCATATAACGACGTTTGATCTCTCGGTCGGGATATCTTGCTCATCTCTAAATCGATGAAAAATGTGGTTCTTGATATCCTTAACAACGTAACGACAGGTGTTATCAAGGCTGCATTGATGGAAGATTTTATGCAACATGCTTGTCGTTATCTGAGTAGGGTTGTGCACTTCTTTGAAAACAGATTTGCTTGTACCTTGATTCTCGTCTGACTTTATCGAAGCAAAGCAGAAAATATTGAGAAGCAAGGTCACGAGCATGAAAAGTCCCATTTGGACAATAGATTGATTGAAATCTTTCCTAGGAAACAAATGAAATTGCTATTTACTTTAACAGATTAGTAAATCGTTTTCCACAATTCTCGTCGCCAAAAATCTGCTGTGTTTTTCGCCTCAACAGACATATAAGAACAGAAAATAAAACTGTTTTCCAATATTAAACTTTTAACAACCAAACCGTACAAAAACAACTCAAAGAACAATGCTTTTGAAAAAGTATGTTACGTTATAGAAATGGTGTTCACTCACGCATTTTGATTAACACCTTTAAATAAAGCGTCTTTTCTAAAACTACAACAACTACAACTGTAGTCTCATTTAAAGATCTTACATACTCTTATCAACAACTATTTAATTCAAAGACTTTTGGAAAACTAAATGCAGTACACGTTATAGAGATGATCATTTTTTTGGTATTGTGGATTGTGGACTAGAAATGTTTTCAATGTTGATCGAAAGAGGAGATCTGTGTTGGTACTTAAGGCATAGGAATTTAGGGGAAAATTTTGTAGGTCGTGATTTTCTTATCTAAACAGACGAGACTTGAGCGTTTACCATTTGTTGGTACCTTGTTTCTAAGCTAGGAACTAAGCCCAAACTTGCAGGTGGTTGAAGTGCAGTTGGCATTGTTTGGCATTGTTATTGACCCTTGAGGAAATCAAATTACCAAAAACTCTGTATTGAGACCTCAACTCCCCTCTGGTCATGTCTTGTCCTCAAAGTTCTTCGCTATTACTCATGCGACGTTTTGTTGCAGAGCTCGAAATGATCTAAGCTGAAATTGCTTGCTCGTAAATCTGAACCTAATAAGCCCATTTGAAGTAAACTTTGCGAAAAGAAAATTACCTGATTTTAAGTCAAAGGAAATGGATGGGTAAGCACAGTCAAAAGGGTTAGATTTTGATTACCGATTAACCGGAAAAGGGTTGTATGCATTCTTCAAATTTCCGAATAGTCGGAATGGGGAACATAAGACTAAAAATAAACGTTACTTTTAAATTGTTGAATATTTTGTACGATTGTCTCTGTTTCTGTCCAACCCAGCAATACTTTTCTCCTCTTTATGTTAAATTATTTGCGCAAAGAAAAGATGCGAATCTAAAAATAAAGAGCCATTTAGGCCGCACATCATTTGATTAGGGATTTTGCTGTTTGTTAAGCTAGACAATTGAATTATTCCTCCTGCATAATTAATGCAACTCCTTCGTATTCTTCTAATTTGTCCATTGGCAATGAATCCAATCCCATATTACCTGAACAAGTGCAAAATATATCTAGCAAAGAATTTCTTTTAAACTCAAATTCACAGCGATAGACATGGGATATCTTTCTGGAAAAGTTTCAAAGCTGTTAAAGGTTGCTTAATTCTACCCAACTGTATACAATTATGCCTTACGATAGGCAAGCAGGCGTCTTGTAAGAGTGCGGGGATGAAAATGGGGAAGAGGAAGATTGAGAAGGATACTTGCCCCCTATCAAACTATGGCCAGAAAAAAATTCCACACATTTTCAAAGATCACTAATTACGATTCCAAAAGGGTCTTTCCTAAAATTTGTCAGAAAAACATACGACAATAATCCTTAAAGCTTTTCTAATAAACATAAATTGTGGGTTCATCTTCATCTTTTTGGTTTTGTAATTTGATTACTAATAAAAGTTTACTAAAATTTGACATTTCTGGAACCTTCTTTTATATAAATTGAATAGAGAAAAATCTAAATGCTATTAAAGCAATAAGATTTCAATAAACGATTGAACAAAATTTAATCGAAGTCTCTGTTAGTGTGATCACTTGACATGCTGATAAAGCTTTAGGGTTTTGAAGATATGATTTAATATTTCTTTACTTTGATTATATAAACAAAATAAAGTTCAACAACAGTTAATACGCAAAACATAAATCAATGCATTTCAATACAAAAATATTCATCATCAACTGTTTACACATAAGATTATCAAGAAACAGACTTCGATTGGATTTAAAAGTGCGTATTTATTTAAACTTCTTCAAAGTTTGGAAGTTGCGCAATTTAATAAATCAATCGATTTGCAGCAAATGACTAGATGCAATTAGAATCTTAAATAACAACAGATCCTTCCAGTTACTAAAGCAAAACTCTTATTTTAATGTATGTTTGTGTTATTATATTCTTATTATTCTAAGCAACAAGAACTTCTGCAGGTTGATTTAGTAATTAAATTTCGGCAAAAATATTAAGGAATTGCATCTGAAAAATCTTTAATAACAACAGTGTTTTCAACAGTGTTAAACAAAGGCAAATTTTCAAATGTAATGATAAATTCCGATGTTGTCAAACGTAAAAACAGATTCCAATTTCAATTTATGGGAATAAAAAATCAGTTGATGGTCATTGCAAAGTGTGTTTAAAGTTGGTAAGAAGCGAGCTGTTTTGTTCCAGTATAAGGTTAAAAGACAAAGTTGTCTGGTTTCCCGATCAAAGAAGATGCATTTTCAAATGTATGTCTTTATTTAAGAGTGTTATATTGTTGATGTTTTTTCTATCTATTCTTCCACAAAATTCAACTTATTTTACCTGTTTGTCCTTTTCTTGATTCCCGGCGTTGCTCCATTCGCTTGTTTTAGACATTGTACTTTATTTACTTTTCACTTAGTAATCGTTATCATACTATTTTTTTTTGCAAATCTTTGATGGAAAACCCGTGCTTTTAACACTAACTTTTTTCTGAAGATGAAGCATAGTAGAATCTTGGCCTCATCTGGAATTGTTTGTTTCAACTTAAGAATTTGACTTACAATATTTCTATGAAAAAGTCTTTACTACGAATTTTCTTTCTTTCAATTTGCTAACTTCAATTTTGTTTTTCAAGGATGAATTGTGACAAAGATTACTGTTACATTTTCCTACATAATGTTTTTAATTTATAGCAAAGGTTGTGTCGAAGTAGATCTAAACTCTGTTAGCCTGTAGAGAATATGTTTTATTGAAAGTGTAATAACTTTATTAAAGTTTTGCTTGTGAAAAAAATAAAACGTATTAGGCTTAGGTTCCGAAGTACTTTTCTCCGGATGATTAAAAGTAGTTCAGCATTCTAACGGAAGAATTTTCTTGTGAGAAATAATTCTATCTAAGATGATATTTATAAATAATTTCTGTAAGTTTTTTTTTGATTCGTGAAACTTTATCATCAAAATTTTTTATGCTTATAAACAACTATTGTTGCTAGGTTTGATGGGCTTCTTTAAGTCTATATCTTTAATGGACAAAGATATTTTCTAATTGCTTTTGTAGAAAACGGCTAGTAAAAGGTAAGCCATAATTCAGTACTAATATTTTTTAGACTGTTGCTGCTTGTGATTTCTGTAAATATAAATGGAGAAATACTTCGTCTGCCATGCAAGATCTTTGCCAATTTTACTGCTGTGCTTCATGATCAATCACTTAGTTCTACATTTTGTTCTTTGGACAACTTGGATGAGCAGATGTGTAAGTTTGAATGCATCATGGAGCATCGATGCAAGTCTATAAATTTAAACAGAGAGTTGGGTATTTGCCAGTTGAATAGCAAATCAGCACAGGATCCAAAAGATTTCATTAAAACGCAAAAAAAGGAGGGTTGGACATATTATTCAACCCGTTTTGAAGAGAAAAATGTGAGTTTTCTATTGAAATACCTATTTAAAATTCAACTAACTTTATAAATTTAAAAACTAATTTGGTGACAGAAAATTGCGAAAAGGGCACATATAAAAATTAGTTGAAAGAGAGAAGAAAGAAGAACAACAAGTCATTGATCAAGATGAGCATCAAACACAGCTTTCAATCTTCATCTTTTTAGCTCTGCAAAAAATATGGCCTTAAAGAAAAAGAGCTTTTATTCTCGTAAATTTCAAGACTAATATAGCACTCGTGATATGTTGTGATAGGGCTAACAATTGATCATTCATGAAATAAAATTTTTACATCGCAGGTTGGTCAGTATTGCCAAGCAAATGATCCTTGCAGCGCCGGACATAAATGCATTGACACTTGCTACTGCCCAGGGTATAAATGCATTGGTAAATACAATAGTAACTACATTTATATCAAGCTCTTTTACTTGAGTCAAAGTACGCAGCACTTAATATCATATCACTTAACTTGTTATCAAAATACAAAGCTCTATCTATTTTTCTTCACCTAAAATGTACAGACAAAGTCTAAATGAAGAAAGACATTTTTTTCTTTCACAGGTTTTTGTATTGGCATAATTCTGATCAGTAAATAAGTTACAGTAAAAATAAGATATAATTCAAACGTGAAATTATTATCCAAACTAAATGCCAAAATGGCTAAAAAAGATAATGTGACGAAAATATCTCATTGATTGATTGACTTTTCATTATGGATTTGGCATGCAAGCTCAAAATTATCTTTTACAATTGATGTACATGCAAATTGTCTTAAATAACTGTCTATTAAAACCAAAACCTAAGACAAAAAAGTAAAAAAAGTGATTACTGATCTAAACCTTAAAAGACAGCTTCAATACTATTATTATGAATATGGCCTAAAGGAGATTTATATATAAAGTTTTGTCGTTGATAACAGGATACAGATCTATATGTGATTGTTTAGTTGTTATGCCTCATGTTGTATCATGCTAAGCTTAAACGTCTTTAAAATGTTAGTCTGTAACACTTTGCATAAAATAACAAAATACTTCTATTAATAACAGGCATGCGATGTGTTTTCTCGATCAAGATGAATCCAATAAATTTTTAAAACTAAGATTTAATATTCTTAATCTGACCATAATTTTGATAACAGCGGAAAATTTGGCATATAAAAGGCCGTCCTCACATTCATCCGCCATAGAATATGGTGGAATTACATTTGTTGCCAGCTTTGGAAATGACAGTGACAGAACTGGGGAATGGCAGCGATGCAGTATCACAAAAGCTGACATAGTACCCTGGTGGCAAGTGGACCTTACAAGGCAAGCCGCAGTCACAAGTATCCAAATAAAAAACGGCGCAACTTGGGAGCAAGATAAAATCAATCCATTCAATATCAGTGTTGGGGATGATAGTTCAAATGGTGGACGAAACAATGCACTGTGTGTGAAAGATGGAAGGTTGGAAATCGGTGAATTAAAAAAGTTCGATTGTCCACAGGTCCTGATGGGTCGTTACGTCAGTATCTTTTTGAATAGGCAAGAATATCTTCAAGTATGCGAGGTTGAGGTTTATGAAGGTATGTGTATTCACAGCAAAATTCACTCCTTTAATGTTGGTCACGAAATGTAAATGTAACTTGCATCTTGCTCAATGGGCCATTACTTTTGATAAAGCAACTGATTTTTTGGCTTTAACTAATTTTGGCATTTCATCGACTAAACCAAATAAAATGGGGCACAATAATACAAGCAAACAATGTGAAAAATGTAATAACCTGTAGAGAAACATCTAAAGAGAAAAAATGCATAGGCCAATTTGACGGAGGTCTTTTAAGACCAAAAGCAATGTCGAAGAGAACTCTTTTTGCAAGATGGCTTCCGATGGTCCCGAAAAGGTAAGCTGTCCGTGAAATGGATCTAAAAAATGATTCTAAGCGGCTTTAGTGGAGGTTTAGAAAAAATTTCATTATCAAAACCCGTTTTCTTGAAAATGGGTCCAGACACTTTGGTGTTGGAAGTCAAGGATATATAAGCCATTGACATTGTCTAGTACAACTTTTGATTGTACAGATATGTACTGTCATAGAGATGTGCTTAATGAGTATACCTCAGTTGAATTTATGAGTATATTTTCATTTTATTTTTGAGACTAAGATTATTCTTAAATTACTTTTTAGCGACAAAAGGTGAAACTGATTTGCATTATAATGTTAATGTCTCTAAGGCCAAATACGTCTTTTTCAAAATATATATCGTGAAAATTACATTTGTTCTGCTTTCCAAAACACTAAAATAAATATTATATTCAATTTTTTTTAAGCTTGATTCTTTGATTGTTTTTACATTATTTTTAAATTTCATCGATTTAAATTGAGCATTAATTTTCTTATAAACCTTATTCTTAAAAAAGTGTGTAGCCTGAATATAATTCTATGTTGAATTTCCATGAAGTTAAAAAGCTAAGAGTTTCTGCACCATATTCTGTTAATAGAAATTATATTTTTGAAACAAGTAAAAAGAGGCTTGATATTTATTCTGTCATTTTGTGATATCAAAAGTTTATTTTAACATGAACTTTCCATTTTAGATGTATTCTGAAACAAAGCTTGATAAATCTATATTTATTCTCCACTGTCTGGCCAGCACGAATGCATTGGAAGAGAAATGTAATATATCTGCTACAATCAGCAAAAGAGGACATTAAAAATGCACGAAGATTTCATGTTATATGTTTGAATTCTCTGTACCGCAAAGTTTGGAAATGGCATGAAATATTGTAAACATAGCACGCTGAGGTACCTTTCGTCTGACACTCTTCACCCAAATAGACAATAGTGAAAGTTATCACTAAATCTTAACTTGCTGCATCTCGCCCTTAAAATTTTGATGGAAATGAGCCATCTTCTTTTCATCTAGGTGTTTTGGAATCAAAGCAAAAGGATCCCAGCTTGTTTCGACAGCAAAAGTTCGCTTTCTCTCTTTGGCAATTCACGGTTTTTAAAAAAGCCTGTAAAACGCTTAGTCTTTCTCTTGAGCCACTGTCGATCCATACTTGGATGTAAAATTTTCTGCCTACCATTGGTCATTAACACTCGTTTGTACTCTGAAAATTGTCGAACGCAAAGAACTTCAGTAAGCTATGTTTCAGATTTTTCATGAAATCTTCAAAATTTAGCAAGAACTATCTATATATAAATTACTATCTATCTATAAATTATGGACAGTGGGGGCGAAGGCTGAAAAATATTTTTGGCTTGTGACTTGTGCTCAATTTAAGAAATTTAAATTACAAAAAATCAATTTTTTGCCTGAAAGATTATTTACAAATACTTGATGTTTTCTTTAAGCTTTAAGAGCTGTCAGCAAAATTTTTGATAGGAAAATCAGAAAAAAGATCAGAAACATAAATTATGCAAAGTGACTTTATTGTTTTGATTTGGCTATATATAGCAAAGCAAAGACCACTGTATCGTGTTATTAAGTGACATGAATGAGAGTCTTGTTATTTGACTCATGATATTATAGTCTCTTTGATCTTCACAAAATCTAATTCGAGTTCAGAAATGATAATACAGAAGGATTTTGTACGCTGCAATAGTTATACTCGTAACGTGGAACATAAAATGATATTAAAGAGTGATGCAAAAGAGTTTTCTATTTTCTCTCCATTACTAATGTAACACTTTGTTCTATATTACTATAAATAGTTATTTGCTCGATCTTGGCACGATCATGGAATCTTCAAAATTTAGCAAGAAGTGACAATTATCGTATTTTAGGGTTTTTTATCTATTAAGTACTATCTATAAATTGTGAACAGTGGGGATTTTTGGCTTGTGACTTATGCTCAATTTAAGAAATTTAAATTACAAAAAATCAACTTTTTCCCTGAAAGATTATTTACAAAGACTTGATGTTTTCTTTAAGTTTTAAGAGCTGTCAGCAAAATTTTTGACAGGAAAAATCAGAAAAAAGATCAGAAACATAAATTATGCAAAGTGACTTTATTGTTTTGATTTGGCTATATATAGCAAAGCAAAGACCACTGTATCGTGTTATTAAGTGACATGAATGAGAGCCTTGTTATTTGAATTATGATATTATAGTCTCTTTGATCTTCAGAAAATCTAATTCGAGTTCAGAAATGATAATACAGAAGGATTTTGTACGCTGCAATAGTTATACTCGTAACGTGGAACATAAAATGATATTAAAGAGTGATGCAAAAGAGTTTTCTATTTTCTCTCCATTACTAATGTAACACTTTGTTCTATATTACTATAAATAGTTATTTGCTCGATCTTGCAACATTCTACGCTGATGGCAGCAGCAAAATGCATCTAGAAAGCTGGTAAAACTAAATACAGATGCACACAAATGGACCAACGCAAAGTATGTTGGGTCTAATTATGCAATGCAAAGTAAATACCCGTTCCAACAAACAGCACACACACTTGTGACACAAAACATCTAATGTAAATTCTGTGCTAGTGCATAAGGCGTCAAACTTTTGCCCAAGGAGCCTTAAAACCGAAATCACTTTCGAAGTAAAATTCACAATGGAACATGAACAGTTAGTTGTTCAAAATCAGACTTGCATGTAATGCTCTTTGTAACGTCAAATTCCAAATTCTTAGTTTCTAAAGACTCGTCTATCCAAAATTATGACCGAATATATAGTCCGAATTTTTCATGCATTTAATTTTCAATATATCACTTTACAACGTATCTCAGAATTTTACCATGCCAAAAACTGAAATGGTATTTGGAAACCGTACTAATACATCATAGAAATGTAAGAGCAACGGCTCATTTGTCTCGGCAAGGCTTGCTTTTGTCAAAAGTGGTCTCGTTTCGGAGAACAGAGCCCGTTCCATCGAAAATTGGGATGCGAAAAGGGAGGTAAATTGAGGTACATTTGAGTTAGGCTATCTTAGTTCCTTATTTTATCTTGATAAAATTCATTCTTTATATTTGCTGCTTTGAAAATTTAACAAAGTGACAAATATGACCGATTCAAGAAATCATTAAACCTTTTTTTTCAATTTTGATAATGTAAACAATATATTTTTCCAGTTTAACTCATCAGTAAATTGACAAAATATTAATAAGTTCAGTTCAATCAAAGTCTTCAATGTTTGTTCAATAAAAAGCTTGTACAAAATGATCAATAGATAAAATTTTATTCTATTTTATGAAGCGCATTTATCAAAACTTCTTCAGAAAAAAATATTATGGGCTGGTTGATAAAGCAATTGATGTGCAGCAAGTGATTTGGAGCATTTTATAAGAAATATCTAATAAAAAACAGTTCATACAATTAATGAAAGAAATATATTTTATATGCATATTATTCTTATCATCATTTAGTTTATAGCTTTGAATAATAATTGCTTTTGCAGGATGTTAAGGCAATAAGTTTGCAGCAAAAATTGTTGTATTTAAAATATCTTAAAAAGCAACAGTTCTGCAAGTTATTAAATCAATTCATTTTCATATAATATCGTCTTCTACCCCTTTCTTTCAATGCTTTTTACTGCTAATAAATGTCGTCTTTTACCCTGTCCTTCCAAAAAGTTTACTCCAAATAAATGTAGTCTTCTACCCCTTTCTTTCAATGCTTTTTACTGCTAATAAATATCGTCTTCTCCCCCTTTCTTTCAATGCTTTTTACTGCTAATAAATGTCGTCTTCTCCCCCTTTCTTTCAATGCTTTTTACTGCTAATAAATATCGTCTTTTACCCTGTCCTTCCAAAAAGCTTACTCCAAATAATTTAATATAATTTAACTTTCTTTCATATAATTCATTTAAAAGTTTGAGAATATTCTGGCTTGAAAGCGTGACAAACCTTAAATAGTTTGCTGGCAGAATCAAAAAACCTGAACTGGTTCAAAATTCAGAAGAACTTTTTCTAGATGAGGAATTCTTATGGAAAAAGAATTTGTAATATATATAACTTTCATCAAAAGTTACTGAATTCTAAATACAATCGTTATGAACCATTGCCGGGTAACGTCCGCCATTAGCCTGGGTAGCAAACTGACCTTTGGACTCTATTGCCACCAACCGTTGCGATGGTTATTTCCGATACATCAAAGCCGTAATTTCACACTCTTATCGATACTTAATTACACTGTCTATTCATTAATATCAATTTATAATGCTTTGTTTATGTCCGTTTTACAGTAGGGTATTAATGTTTGGAGACAAACGTTTGATTCACATATTGAGCCACTATTTAAAATTACAAAAAAGAGCTGTTCGAGCTATATCACATCAAGAATTCCTTGCTCATTCTCTTCCTATTTTTAAAAAAAACTTCAAATTACTTAGAATCTCAGATGTCTTTAAATTGAAACTATTGTCTTTTGCTTATGAATCAAGCAATAAGCTAACTCCAGTGTATTTCCATAACTTCTTTTTCCCTAATACATCTATTCACTGTCATGGCACAAGGCAATCAACACATGGTGATCACGTCCTCAATATGGCAAATACTTTACAGTACGGCTTGAAATCAACTCGATATATGGGGGCAAAATTATGGAACAATCTACCTGTAGAAATAAGAACTAACTCTTCTAAATTCTGATTCAAAAAATATTTGAAAAATTATCTTCTAGAAACTATTTGAAAGTCAGTGAGCTTTGCAAAACTTCTTGTTTAGACCATAAAGTAATTTAATTTAATTCAACAAGACATAATTATAAATGAACATATCAATCGCTGAAACAAAAGGGGGGCCGTCATCTTGTTATTTAACCTACTTTGAGGCCTCTCCAGCCAAAAAAAAGTTTTTTTATTGACTAAAAGTTAGCATCTGGTGCGTGTATTATGGCAAAGTTGTTGTTTTTGCAAATTTTCAATTAGTTTAGAAGTTATAAGTCTTCAAAGTTGCACCTTTCCGAGAAAAAAGGACAAAAGCTGAATTAGTTTTGTTACATTCTGACGTCACAGTGTGCGGCTCTCGTTCTTCATGAATTTTGTATATCTTCCACCGAATCGTGAAGGAGTCATGGCCACGCGTTGATAACTGCATCTAAATCTACAGCAGTTGCTTTTTAGGATCGAAAAATATTAAATGTTTACAGTTATTTTAAAAGCTATGCGGGTCGGAATGTGTCCATGCTGTGTCACGACTTGTTTTGATCACCTGGGTAGGCCCACAAAGCTACGGCTTCCTGTTCCAGCTCTTCCCTCGCGTATAATTAATCAAAATTGACACTTCAGTTGTTTTCCAGAAACGATGAACCACTAAAGGCTTCAGAATTGATATCTGAGATGCTCAAACTAAAAGCCAGTGAACAGAACTGAGAGTACCAACAATTGCAGTGTTCAATTTGCGAATGGCCGACGTTCGATTCGGTTTGAGGCGACTCAAAATTGCGTAACAGTGTCACCTAACCGAAAACTTTTGTCGCTTAATTCAATTCAATTATCGAAATGCAAGAGCTTATATCTCATAAACTGTAAAAAACAAATAACGAATTCATGATCAGCAGGTTCAACTCCTTTAGATTAGCCAATAAAATGCAATTAAAAATTTTGGCTGGAGAGGCCCTTTAAGAATTCTGCTTCATATTGTCTTTTAAACAATGTTATTGTTGTTGTTGCATCAAATCAAATCAAATCAATTCAAATCAAATCAAATCAAATCAAATCAAATCAAATCAAATCAAATCAAATCAAATCAAATCAAATCAAATCAAATCAAATCAAATCAAATCAAATCAAATCAAATCAATCAAATCAAATCAAATCAAATCAAATCAAGTCAAATCAAATCAAATCAAATCAAATCAAATCAAATCAAATCAAATCAAATCAAATCAAATCAAATCAAATCAAATCAAATCAAATCAATCAAATCAAATCAAATCAAATCAAATCAAATCAAATCAAATCAAATCAAATCAAATCAAATCAAATCAAATCAAATCAAATCAAATCAAATCAAATCAAATCAAATCAAATCAAATCAAATCAAATCAAATCAAATCAAATCAAATCAAATCAATCAATGAACACAATGTGTTTTAAGTACTTTGGATTGCCCATAAGCAACATATAAGACTGAATGCATCATGGAGCATCGATGCAAATCTTTTAACATTGAAAGAATATTTGGGTATTTGCCAGTTGAATAAAAAACAGTATAGGCTCTCAAAGATTCTCCATGTTTTGATGACGTAAAAGAGAAAAAAGTGCGCAAATGTTATAAAATCAATGCAAAGAATGAAAGATATGAAAATTATTTGATATATTTTCTGACGATTTTTACTCTGAAGACTGTTAAACGTTTTACTCTGAAGAGTACATGTTTCATAATGTTTGCTTTTTTCAGAGCCACTTTTAAGCTATCATGTCATTATGAACTCTTTGCAAAACATATATATATATATATGGAATAATCATTGCAAAACATAAAATTTACCAATAACGATACTTTACACGAACAACTCCGTTTGAAGTTCGTAAACCTCAAGCTCACATACTTGAAGATATTCTTGCCTGTTCAAGAATACAGTCACATACCGACCAAGCAAAAAATGCCTTGGACAATCAAACTTTTTCAATTCACCGATTGCCAACCTTCCATCTTTTACGCAAAGCGCATTGTTTCGTCCGCCACTTGAACTATCATCCCCAACACTGATATCAAATGGATTGATTCTTTCTTGACCCCATGTTGCGCCACTTTTTATTTGGATACTTGTGACAGCAGCTTGCCTTGTAAGGTCCACCTGCCACCAGGGTACTATTTCTTTTTTGGTGATACTGCATCGCTGCCAGGCCCCAGTTTTGTTACCGTCATTTCCAAAGCTGGCAACAAATGTAATTCCACCATATTCATTAGCGGATGAATGCGAGGACGGTTTCTTATAAGCGATATTTCCTTGAATGCCTGGAATTGAATTCAAATCAAAGGATTTCATCTCAATCACAAAAACCACTTTCATTAAATTGAATCTCTAAAAAGTAGCAAAATGCTACATAATTTTTTCAAGCTCTCTTATTGCATTTTATTTTTATAAAGACATCTTGGAAAATACTATATTTTTTTGTTCATCTAACAGACTACATCATTTTCTAGTATACTTTTAAGTTGCAAAACAATAACACAAGGCCTGGTTGGCTACATATGTTATTTCCCATAAGGTTAACAAACATAAGCGTCAATGATTTCAAGATTTCTGACTGAATACAGAATCCAAGCACTCTTTGGGTAAAATTGTGCCTTGTGTTGATCTTCGCTGAGATTTTTGTGCAGAATCATCAATTACAAATAATAATAATTGGACATATTTTCTAAACGAATAAAAGGATTTATTAACCAGTTATTGATTACTAACTAGAGCTGCTGATTACATGGCTTTGGAAATAACAACTCATACCTCTTCTTGCTTGTTTCTTAGACCATATAACGAAGTTTGATCTCTTGGTTGGGATTTCTTGCTCATCTCTAAATCGATGAAAAATGTGGTTCTTGATATCCTTAACAACGTAACGACAGGTGTTATCAAGGCTGCATTGATGGAAGGTCTTATGCAACATGCTTGTCGTTATCTGAGTTGGGTTGTGCACTTCTTCGAAAACAGATTTGCTTGTACTTTGATTCTCGTCTGACTTTATCGAAGCAAAGCAGAAAATATTGAGAAGAAAGGTCGCGAGCAAGAAAAGTCCCATTTGGACAATAGATTGATTGAAATCTTTCCTAGGAAACAAATTAAATTGCTATTTACTTTAACTGTGAAAAATGTACTCAACTTCTTTTTAAATCATATAAAAATGCTGCGAAACTGTAGTCTTATTTAAAGATCTTAAATATTTTTATTAATAACTTTTTAATTCAAATGAAACTTTTGGAAAACTAAATGCAGTACATGTTATAGAGATGCTCAGATCTTTTGGTATTTTGGTAATTTATTCGCTACTACTCATGCGACGTTTTGTTGTAGAGCTCGGAATGATCTAAGCTGAAAATGGCTTGCTCGTAAAATCTGAACCTAATAAACCCATTTGAAGTGAAATCTGCGAAGATAAATGAAATGATTTTAAGTCAAAGGAAAAGGATGGGGAAGCACAGACAAAAGTGTAAGATTTTAATTACCGATTAACCGGAAAGGGGATGTTTGTATTCCTCAAATTTCGGAATAGTCGGAATGGGGAATACTAGACTGAAAATAAAATATAACTTACTTTCAAATTGTTGAATTTTTCTTACAACTGTCTCTGTTTCTGTCCAGCCCAGCAATACTTCACTCCTCTTTATGTTAAATTATTTGCGCAAAGAAAAGATGCGAATCTAAAAATAAAGAGCTATTTAAGCAGTACATCATTTGTTGAGGGATTTTGTTGTTTGTTAAGCTAGACAATTGAATTATTTCTCCTGCATAATTAATGCAACTCTTCCGTATTTTTCTAATTTGTCCATTACTAATGAATCCAATCCCATATTACCTAAACAACTGCAAGATATATCTAACAAAGATTTTCTTTTAAACTCAAATTCACAGCGATAGGCACGGAACACCTTTATGGAAAAGTTTCAAAGCTGGCAGAGGTTTTATAATTCTACCTAACTGTATACAATACGGCCTTACGATATGCAAAGAGACCTTTTGAAAGAGTGCAGGGCTGAAAAAAGGGAAATGGAAGGATGGAGAAGGATACTTGCTTCCTATCAACATCCGGCCAGAAATAATTGTACACATTTTCGATGATCGCTAATTTGGCTTCCAAATGTGTTTATCCTAAAATTTGTTTTTGAAACATAGGACATAAGGCCAAAAAGCTTTTTTAATAAACAGAAAGGATGGGCTCATCTTCCTTTTCATGGTCTACTAGTCGAATAAAAGCTATTTGTTTGCTGACTTGAACAATTTTTTTTAGAGTACATGAAATAGATTTGAAATTAATAGAAATATAGAAAAGAAAGTGCAAAATTTCGTATTCAAGGAGAGCAATTTTTTGGTTGATACATAATTTAAAACTCCCAGGGGATATTGGTTTGGTACAAAGAGTGAATTCTATTTTTCCTCATTGGCTATCCTCATTGGCTTGAACCTAATTCTTATCGATATAATTTCCTTTTAATTAGCATTAAAAATTTGACATTTCTAAAACTTTCTTTTATATAATTTGAATAGAAAAAAATTTGAAGGTTAAAAAAGGAATACTATTTTAATAAATGATTTAATAAAATTCATTCTAAATATCTGATAGTATGATCATTTGACAGGCCTATAAAGCCTTAGGTTCTTGAAAAAACTTTTGCTATTTTTTCTACTTTGATTATATAAGCAATAGAAAATTTAATATTAATCAATGCATTTCAATACAAAAATATTCATCATCAACTGTTTACATAAGATAATGAAGAATGGACTTTTTTGAATTTAAAAGCACCATCTATCTAAACTTCTTTAGAAATTAAAAATTGCGCAATTTAATAAATCAATCGATTGGCAGCAAATGATTCGACGCAATTAGAATGCTAATTAACAACAGATCCTTCAAGCTACTAAAGCAAAACTTTTCTCAAAATGCATGTCTGTATTATTATTTTATTATTTTTCTAAGCAACAAAAACATCTGCAGGTTGATTAGGTAATTGACTTTCGGCAAAAATATTAAGGAATTGCATCTGAAAAATCTTTAATAACAATAGTGTTTTCAACAGTGTTAAACAAATGCAAATTTTCAAATGTAATGATAAATTCCGATGTTGTCAAACGTAAAAACAGATTCCAATTTCAATTTATGGGAATATAAAATCAATTGATGGTCATTGCAAAGTGTGTTTAAAGTTGGTAAGAAGTGACCTGTTTTCTTCCAGTATAAGGTTAAAAGACAAAGTTGCCTGGTTTCCCGATCAAAGAAGATGAATTTTCAAATGTATGTCTTGATTTTAAAATGTTATATTATATAAGTTTTTCTATCTGTTCTTCCAGAAAAGTCAACTTATTTTACGCGTTTGTCCTTTTCTTGATTCCCGATGTTGCTCCATTCGCTTGTTTTAGACTTTGTACTTCTTTCTTTCCCCTTTATTTACTTTTCACTTGGTGATCGTTATCATACTATTTTAGTTTTGTGCAAGTCTTTGATTCAAAACCCGTGCTTTTGACACTAACTTTTTTCTGAAAATGAAGCAACGTAGAATGTTGGCCACATCTGGGATTGATTGTTTTAACTTAAGAATTTGACGGACAATATTTCTATGAAAAAGTCTTACTTCGAATTTTCTTTTTTTCAATTTGCTAACTTCAATTTTGTTTTTCAAGGATGAATTGTGACAAAGATTACTGTTACATTTTCTTACATAAAGTTTTAATTTATAGCAAAGGTTGTCTCGAAGTAGATCTAAAACTCTGTTAGCCTTTAGAGAATATGTGGTCTTGAAAGTGTAACAGCTTTATTAAAGTTTTGCTTGTGAAAACAAAAAAACGTATTAGGCTTAGGTTCCGAAGTACTTTCCTCCGGATAATTAAACGTAGTTCAGCATTCTAACGGAAGAATTTTCTTGTGAGAAATAATTCTATCTAAGATGATATTTATAAATAATTTCTGTAAGCTTTTTTTGATTCGTGAAACTTTATCATCAAAATTTTTTATGCTTATAAACAACTATTGTTGCTAGGTTTGATGGGCTTCTTTATGTAAATATCTTTAATGGACAAAGAGATTTTCTAATTGCTTTTCTAGAAAACGGCTAGTAAAAAGTAAGCCTTGCTTCAGTACTAATATTTTTTAGACTGTTGCTGCTTGTGATTTCTGTAAATACAAATGGAGAAATACTTCGTCTGCCATGCAAGATCTTTGCCAATTTTACTGCTGTGCTTCATGATCAATCACTTAGTTCTACATTTCGTTCTTTGGACAACTTGGATGAGCAGATGTGTAAGTTTGAATGCATCATGGAACATCGATGCAAGTCTATAAATTTAAACAGAGAGCTTGGTATTTGCCAGTTGAATAGCAAATCAGCACAGGATCCAAAAGATTTCATTGAAACGCAAATAAAGGAGGGTTGGACATATTATTCAACCCGTTTTGAAGAGAAAAATGTGAGTTGTCTATTGAAATACCTATTTAAAATTCAACTAACTTTATAAATTTAAAAATTAATTTGGTGACAGAAAATTGCGAAAAGGGCACATATAAAAATTAGTTGAAAAGAGAGAAGAAAGAAGAGCAACAAGTCATTGATCAAGATGAGCATCAAACACAGCTTTCAATCTTTATCTTTTTAGCTCTGCAAAAAACATGGCCTTAAAGAAAAAGAGCTTTTATTCTCGTAAATTTCAAGACTAATATAGCACTCGTGATTTGTTGTGATAGGGCTAACAATTGATCATTCATGAAATAAAATTTTTACATTGCAGGTTGGTCAGTATTGTCAAGCAAATGATCCTTGCAGCGCCGGACATAAATGCATTGACACTTGCTACTGCCCAGGGTATAAATGCATTGGTAAATACAATAGCAACTACATTGCTTTTGGGGTACAAAGTGCTATACAACCAGTTTTGCATGTTTTGTTTCTAGTAAACTAATTGTGTTGTGTGCCAATGTTTGCATCAGTACTGTTGTTTGTTTCCTTGCCATCAACATTCTATGTCATTGCATTATCCCATCAACGCTATTGTTTTCATCAGTCCCTTTGTTTGATATAATTATCGTGTTAAAACATAATTGGGGTTTGTTTGTCAAGTGGTATATTTGCTGTACCCTTGTTCGTAAATTCAGTCGATTTGAAGTTGACGTTACCTTTAGTCGTGTTAAAGTTGCCGTTACGCAAAATCGTTATTTTGGAGTCGCCGAATATTTGTAGTGTCAGGTTTTGATACATCCTCGTTTTTGTTCAAGTTTATTGCCGTCGTTTGGATATCGAATAGAAATTATGTACATTTTTTGTTGTTCTTCTTTCGTCTACATTTATCTGTAAAACCTTATAGTTTTACAAAAGCCCTTGTTTTGTGTTGTGCATAAGAAGAGTTTTTAATACAATTACTTTTTGTAAATTTTCTTCCACCCACAGCAAAGAATATCGCCTATAAGAAGCCATCTTCCCATTCATCAACCCATACATATAACGGAATAGAACTTGTTGCAAGCTTCGGAAATGATGGTGACAGAACGGCAAACTGGCAGAAATGTAGTTTCACCAGTTATGAAGAGCAACCCTGGTGGCAAGTGAATCTTGAAAAGGTAGCCGCTGTTACACATGTTCGGATAACAAATTCTGTAGCCTGGCCTACACATGATATAAACCCATTCAATGTTAGTGTTGGAAAAGATAGCTCAAACGGCGGAAGAAACAATGCGCTTTGTGTAAATGGTGGAAGGTTGGCTAGTGGCGAGATGAAAACTTTTTATTGTCCAAAGCTGATGATGGGTCGCTACGTGAGTGTGTTTTTGAACAGGAAAGAATTTCTTCAAGT